CAATATTAAGTACACATGACTACACATAGGATTAAACCCTAGATATTCGGGTGTTATCTAAAACGTAATGCTTTCAAATTATCAACTCAAAAGCTTACGGTCCACTTTTCTACAATTTTTCATAATTCCCTCAACCAATATTATGATGTGTGAAATGATCACTCCTATACACTATCCATTCAAAAAGGTTGTAAACTTCATACATACATACATACATACAGCTGTTTTCTTCATAATTTTTATCAGTTCGAAGAGATCAAGTATTAGGTAATTTCTTCGTAATTCGTAAAATTTTAGAAACGATTTTATAGTAAGAAAAAATGAGGGAATCCACATCAAGTTAAATTATTAGCAAATAAAAAGAAAATATTAGAAAAGTAAACACGCTAACAATCTGGATTAGAATTTTGGTGTCGTATTGACATACGTACACTTACAGACTGACTAAAATAATCTAAGTGAGTGAGAGCCGGAAAGTAGTTATAAACTACGAAGAAATAACCATCCATTGCCAATGAATCTTGTTGTTAATGAAAAATAACGTTAACTTATACAAAAGTCTTCATAAAATGTTTCTGTTTTAACAATGATCGTTTTAAGTAGTAACATTATAAGTAACAGTACACATTTGGAAGAAGAGACCACATTCAGTTTACTATCATATTTAGCCAATGTATCAGATCATATAGTTGAATTACTTCGATTTATGGTATTTTTACAAAATATATGAAGATGTAATAAAAGTTTCATTATTAATTAAATATTACTCACAAGTAGTTAAAACCGTTACCAGAACGATTTTTCAGATGCAAACAGTGTAAGTATAAGCAGAGTATTGTATACGATAATGAATTATTCAGTTTACGTCAAAATGTTCACCTGAAGGATAAGATTTTAGGATCTGCCGTAGAGAAGATAACCCAATCTATTTGAAATTACAATGATAATGATAAATGGGAATTGAATAGTTAGTTCCTCTGAAATACATTCCGGTTTTCTTAAGCTTACTTTTACTCATTCATTACTACAGATCACCTTATTCCATTTAAATGATCAATACTCATTACTGTGGTAACAAAACAACTATCACTAATATGTTTTATATTTAGACAAAGTTATCAAGAAAGAAAGGGGAAATAGTTGTGCATTTTCTTCAATCGAGTTGTACATATAAAAAAGTCCTATTCCATTATAATGTGGATGATATTTTGTAAACCTACCATCCCTTGTGTAGGTTGAAAAACACCTGATTATCTCGCAAGACACTACCATCAATGTAACCTCACAGAAGAATAAATATAAATTGTTTGTAACCTAATATTTGTATCTACTTAATAAAAAATATATATAAGCATATATTTGTGATATCCCAATGAGTATAGAGTTGAAGAGATTGTTGAGTCTAGATTGATATCATAAATGGATCAATGTTAGACCACTAGTGAAAACCTGAAAGCACTGGACGACCGTTTCTTCCTAGTATGGGATTCCTCAGCAGTGCACATCCACGATCCCTCACGTGAGTCTCGAACCCAGGATCTTCGGTCTCGCATGTGATCTCTTAAATTAAGCTTTCAACGTCTCCAATAAATCGCTTCTTCAGAGAATAAATAAAATACTAAATTACGGAAAGTCAAAAATTTAGTTTTTTTACTCATTAGGATAGTACGAATACATCATTAGTTATTTTATAAGCAATCTAACCCATGCCGAATCCACTTTTTGAAATTTACATGTCATATCCCGATATTAATACGTGTAAACCAATCGTGTCTGGGTTCTCGAACTACTGTAGATTGAATAGATGTGTATTTCTTTTAGTTATTTTCTTCTGAAACTAGAGATTAACGAGAAATCGTTGTTGCATTTTCATACAAATTGCATTCTGTTTCCATTCTTTACTGTTCGATCCTCTTGTCTCCCTGCTGCCTGACATTCTGTTTACGACTAACGTCATATACTACTTATGTAGATATAAGTAGCACACACCACATGACTAGTAAACTTACAAAGTTATCGATAGGATTCTTATTAACGGTGATGAAATGTAATTGAATTATTTTATGGAATTTAGATGAAGTGGCCAAAGATCAATCTGTTTAACACAAGATAATATATCATAAGTTTGAGACGATATAAAGCTATGCGCTGATATAGTGTTTAACATTAACATTAGGGTAAAACAACTTTTTTAATTTATTCCTAACACCACTGACTTTCTTTCTTCACAAACCTATGTAGGTCATTCAATTTAATCTGTAATAGTTTAGATTATCTCATTGTTGATATTTTGACTGAGATTTTATCAGTCTTCATGAACATATATGCATCCTTTGAAGATTGCCTTGTTATGTTCATCATGACACAAGTTTATGTAGAATAAATGGAATTCATTGAAAAGATCATTTTCTTATTTATTGATTAATAGATAATCAACTTGTAGTGTCGGTTACTATGTTAAGTCCATATGCCTTATTATAGCTTTCGGATAGGCCAATCTATTCATTCTACTTGAGTCTTATTTTGACCTTGTTAATTATTCGCTTATCAATCTTGACTGTTTTTACATGAGCGCATATGTGTGTACATTTATTATCTCATTACTCATCACATGTCTGTAATTTATTTTTGTGTGACTATAAATATTGATTAACGCTTGGTTGAATGAGAGTTGACTTACCCGCCGTCTCCACTGCGCATCGTTTCGCTTCTCACTATTCCATTCGCTTCATATACAAAATATATGTATTCAAAGTCCATTCTCGTTATTTGACTTATTTAATTCCGTTGTTGACTAACGCGATTAAAGTCGACGATTATATACGAGGATAGGCGACATATATAACAATCATTCATACGATCAAATTAGAGTCAGAACTCAGGCCACTCAAGTGGAGAGCCCGTCGACAACATTGTCCAATCTAAATGATGACAAAATAAAAGCCCCACTGAAAACTCATAATAAACACAAATCTTAATGTGAATAGTTGATGGTTTATTATATACTAGAAACTTGCATTTTGAGCGAACGAAGAAAAGGTAATAAGCACTTCTGAATGATCAAAGAAAAAGAAAAAAACATATTTAAATTCGCTGATACTCAATTAAGTAACCAAAAACAAACTTTTGGGGACGTTAGATCCCCAGAACTCACTTCAAAAAGGACCTAATGTTGTAATTTCATTTAGGAGAATTGAGTTTCTTTGTTTTTGCGCCAAAAGCGCTATTTTCACCTTCACGTCGTATTTCCCACTTGTGAGAATCTTAAACGCTATTAGTTCGTTGTGTCTTGTAGTATGCTATTTTGTAACGCTTCACAAAGACGGTTTTGTGCTGTATATATACGTTTTGATTTGTGTTTGTTGTTATCGCTCGTGCTTCTGACTTCGACTTTTCTCTCTAGTTAGCGGGGCTGGGACCCAATAGAATATCTAGTTTATTGATCTTTGGTCACAAGTCTTTTTTCCGTTCGTAGTCTAAGTGAATTCGTAACTGCTTCAAACCTAGCACAAACAATCTAATATTAACACAAAAACCAAATCAGGGTTTCTTTCCAATCACCTTTGATAATCTAACCTCAATCATAGTGCTTTACTACATTTAATGATTTGGACTTGTAATCACACTTTAATTGAATTAATAGAAACCATTCAGGATCTAATGAAAACATCGAGTAATACTCAGTAATTAAATAGTTCATTTGTACCTTGATTTCCAGTGTTACTACAGTTATATACAATATTTTTTTGTTTATTGATAAGTTTTGCGGATTCAACGCTATATTCGTCTTCTAAACTATTCTGCAGTTCCTCAAGCTAGAACTATACAGCGACCGGAACAACGAGAGAAGACGCAAAGTATGCGAGAAGTAGTTTACTCCAAGGTTCATTTTAACACAGAAAATATAGGGTTTTTATAATATTTTTAAATGTCCTTGTGTTGCTCGAAGATTCTGGAATGCTACTAAGCATAGTAACTGTATAGCAGCCAACCAATCAGAGACTCTGAATGTGACGTTTCGCTTGCTTGATATTTTTTGGTTAAGACTTTAAGTGAATGCTGACTGGCTGAAACGCTTCTTAGTTATTCTCGATGCTTGCTTGTCTTGTGCAAGCAATTTTCTGGATCATCCCAACATTTATATTTGACACTGATTATATAAACTTTGGTAAAAATTGAACAAGAAGGTCGAAGTTTTGAAATGAAAAGGAAAAGAAAAAGTGTAATGCAAGAAATAATCATCTTTGGAGAAATACGATTATCTTTGTTCAAATGAATCTGTAACATAAATGCATTTAACCTATTGGAATATAAGACTAATTAAAGTTTATCTACTGTTCATTCGTTATATACATCAAGCTAAACTTTTATATATAACAACAATTTAGGCTTTTGTTAGTATAGCATTATAGAGATTGTTCAATTTCATAAAAATCACTATTTGATCCATATTAGAAAACTATTAAAAACTTAGAAGCACTAAACAGCTGGGGTTTTTTTTTCTTTCCTTCTTTCACTCAATTGATATAAAACATTGATTTATGTAAAACTTGTTTCATTGAATGAATAAATACCAAGATTAAAATTTACTTCACATTTGTTTATTGTCCTATTTATCACTGTATAACTATTTACTTCAGAGCTGAAACTTGGAGAACTACAACAACCACCATCAAGAAGGTACAAGTATTTATAAATAGCTGTCTACTCAAGATACTCAAAATCCATTGGCCGGATACCATCAGCAACAGTCGTTTGTGGGAGAGAACAAACGGGCTTCCAGCAGGAGAGGAAATTAGGAAAAGACGATGGAAATGGATAGGACATACACCAGTCAAATCGTCAAACTGCATCACGAGGTAAGCCCTAACTTGGAATCCTGAAGGGAAGCGGAAAAGAGGAATGCCAAAAAACACATTACGTCGGGAAATAAAAGCAGATATGAAAAGGATGAATAACAACTGGAAGGAGCTGGGAAGGATTGCCCAGGACAGGGTTGGATGGATTTTTATAAAGAGAAAATACAAACAACTCAAGAAACATTTCAATATCTACCATTTGAATTATCACAACAATATCAACAATTAAATGAAAGTATTGGACTTAAATCTACTACCAATTCAAATGATATTCATTCATTGAAACAATTATCTCAGGAAATTTGGCGATTATTTCAAGAAAGATCACTAAATAATAATAATGATCTTAAGGAAATAGACAATCATTCTACAACAAATTATAATGAACAACAATTAAATTATCAAATAAATTCAAATTATTCTTGACCAAATCATATGAACACTATTGCCGCCATACAATGGATCATTTAAAACAAACGGAGAATTCAATTCTCAATACCGACCATCATCATAATAATAGCAGCGCCGGTGATATTCCTTCTAAAAATAAACCCCAAAAAAGAGAAGAAAAACAAGAACAAAATAGTTGTCAAGAGGGAGATTCAAAACTATTAAATTTAAATGATGGTCATTTTAAATCTTTTACAAAAATTGATAAAATAAAAACTTATCAATTATGGTTTAATTCATTAAATTGTTTAAATACACAACAAAAATTATATCATTTATATAAAACGAATTATTTCATCAAAAATTATTGTGAAAATGTGGAACATTTAAAAATGAATGAAAATGATTCATTGAAAAGTAACAATATTGTAAATAATAATACAATGACTACTAATACTACTCATAATAATAATGATAGTAGTAATGATAGTGCGATTAATAATAATGATAATAATAATAATGATAATACTGTTAATAGTGACATGAATGATACAAGTAATATTAATAATTTATCGATACCTTCAAATTCTGCCTTAGATGCTTTAATTCATATGACCACATCTACAATGCAACAATTAAAACATGATGGTGATTTCTCAGGTAATTATTTGAATTAAATTCCCTTTCTTTATTCATTATAAATAATCATTGAATTATAATATTATATTCAAATTATAGATATATCTTATTGAAGAATATAAAATAGTACGAATTCTAGATGATGTATTGTATCCAACCGACTAACATGGAAATATGTTCCATGAAATGTTAAGTCAGATAGACTAGAGATAACTTTTATTCATTTATTTTTATTTTAACACATATATATTGGTACAAGGAGGCGCCAAATACATATGCGCCACACAAATCTCATTCGATATGTGTGAGGACTGTGATACTTCCCGGGTACCTAAACCGAAGCAGGTGGTTTTCCTAGAGGGCCACTCCCCGAGCCTTCGACCTGAAGGTCTGATCCACAAGGCAGTGGAGCATCGTAAGGAGATGCAGTCCCATGGAAGCCGGTGACCAACGATTGGTTCATACGTCATTTGTTCCCTCAGGATACTGGAGCCCATGTGCACCATTGGTTTGGGATCCGGTTAAAGCGCCGGACATTCTCTTTTCGTCTTCTCATTTTCGTAAACAACAGTAATACCACGAGAAGGCAATGAGTAGGACTTCCTTGCAGAGGCTATATACGCGTGGCCATGTGAGGGCATTTCGAGAGGGAGAGCGGACTCTCCCTACTCTCGGCCATACCAGAGCATTTGGGGGCACTAGAGATAACACTATATGTTGATTAATACAATTCGATCAGTGCTAAAGGATTAGACAAACATAATATTAACATGATGATCTATTTTGTAAGATTCAAATGAGCATAAATTTGAGTTTATGAAGTTAAACTACATGTTCAGGATAAACAAAAACAAATAATCGAATTAAATTAACACAAATTTAAATAGTAAAAAGTAACATTAAGTTCAGTCATCCGAAGAATTAGCCTGTTTTTAATAGTTAAGTATATGAGTTGATCTAAACTAGACACTATTGAAAATATGGAAGCACTGGACGACTATTTCATCCTAGCATAGACTTCCTCATCAGATAGACATTGGCATCGTTGGGTGTCAGCTTAGTGATCTAGAGGTTAAGTGTTCGCGCGTGAGACCGAGGATCCTGGGTTCGAGTCCAATGTGAGAAATCATGGATGAGCGTTGTTGAATAGTCTCATACTAAAACGAAACGATCATTCAGTGCTTTTAGGTTTCCAATATTGGTCTAGCTTAGATCGACTCATGAATTCATTTATTAAAATTACTACAATCTCCACAAATCCCCATTTTGATAATTGGCTTATATTAAGTCATAAAATGTCAGAATTTCACATTTCCACTTATTGGAATCTGATAAGTATATCATTTATTTTATTATTAAATTTTCACCTAATACTTACTTTACTTGGAACTATCATATCCAACTTTAATATTGATATTGACAAACTATTCAGTATTCAATCACTTGTAAAATGATGCATTTCTAACCATTATAGTAGTATTTACTTATCGCAAATTATATGTATAAGAGTTGTATGTATGAATGATAGGTGAAGTTCTACTATCTAGTATGATACTACTAATTAAGTGAACTTTGATTTTGAATGATTACTCAAGTTGGTGACTAAAATTACTTTTTTGTGGCAACATTCAGCTAATTAAATTAAATATACAATTGATTACAACGTACTGTATATGAATATTTAGTTGTTACATTTGTCTGCCGAATAATTTGTCATTAAAATTTCAATGTCTGATGAATAATAAGTAGATATGATGTGAGTTTCTAGTCTATGATCTATCATCAATAGTGATGTAAATATCATCTGTATAGAAAATATCAAGTTCTAATGAAGATAGCTACATTCATACCAATTTGATATAACATGTTAATTATAAATCTTTGTAAATTCTCATTTATCTTTTATTTAATCATGAGTAATGATTGTTGGAAAGACAGTGATAAACATTTCTAATCGTACACACATAGTTAGATACAACCCCCAAATGACCTGGTACAGCTGAGGTGGGGACATTCAACCCTGCCTTCTGAAATGTTACGTATATACTGTCACTGTCGGGGAAGTCCTACTCACTGCCTTTTCTGGTGAGGGTATTGTTTACGAAATTGAGGGGACGAAAAGTGAATATTCGGCGCCCTAACAGAGTTGATGGATATGGAGGATCCACCTAAGGGGTATATGGGAGGCCTATGCTTCTCCACGAGGAGTAACAGGCATCAATAAGTAAGCAAGTAACTAATTAACTTAAGGGAGTTGAAAGATCCTAATTCCAAAACAATGGTGCACATAGACTCCAGGATCCTGAGGGGATAAATGGCGTGTGAACATACTGTTGGTCACCGGTTACAATGGGACTGTATCTCTTAACTCTGTTCCATGCCTTGTGAATTAGACCTCTAAGTCAAAGGCCCCAGAAGTGGCTTTTAAGAAAACCGCTTGTGTCAGTTGGGGCACCCAAACAATATTCCAGCTCTCATATATATCAAATGTTTTGTGTGATGTATATATATTTGGTGCCTCCTTGTACCGACGTTTATTTGTTAAAATTAATAAAAACGATATATATATATATATATATATATATATATATATATATATATATATGATGTCTAACTTATCAGTTCATGAGAAATTTACCAGGTCTTTTTTTAATCTCAATTCAAATGTCTAAACAAATAATCCCTTATTATGTGTTACTAGTTGAAATCACAAGTCAGTTGAGGCTAGACCACCATGGAAAATCTGGAAGCACTGGACGGCTATTTTGTCCTAAGACGGAACTCCTCAGCACTGAGCATCCACGATCCCGCCTCGTGAAATTCGAACCCAGGGTCCTCGGGGTCACGTGCGAACGCCTAACCTTAGACCACTGAGCCAGCATATAACGTTATTGATGTCTAACTTTAACCAATCCACGAAATTGCGCCACTGTCCACCATTGTCTTCAGTGAGTTACTATCTCACAAAAGACCCGGTTGAACTCCACTGGTCACTTCTTCTTACTAAAACTCCAGGATATACCACTTGGAGACCGTTACTCGTCCAGTCTTGGGATCTCAGTTAACCATTGAAAGGCTCCAGACGAACTTTCTGTTTATACCATTGATTAAATAACTAATTTGATCGTTGAACAAGAGTGATTCTTAAAATCTCTTACTAAATACTATATTATTTGCTGATACCTTATACGTGAACTTTTGAAATTTGTTTTACTCTAAAATTCTAATTTACATTCATTCGAACTCATCAAGATGACTATTATAATTTAAATCATGCTAAATTTATTTATTCTACAATTTGATTCAAATGATATATTACCCCTTCTAATTCATAATTTAAGTTTGCTTACTGTAAGAAATCAATGTTCAGTATAGGTAAATGTCAATTATTACTTCATTTGAAAGGGTTTTGTGGAGGTCTCCACCGACTGTATTCATTTGAGGTATCTTCTAAAGCCAAAGAGACCTAGATAACATTGTGGATGCGTGATGGGACTGTAGTCAAAATTCAGGACATTTAGGTGTCGCATTGAGATGCCATAATTATCAGAGTTTAACCACATTGGGATTACGACAGTTACATATAAACGGTAGTGAAAAATAGAATTTATTCAAATTAGAAATGAAAACCATTGTAACTAAATTATAAGTTATTCAAAACCTGAAAAATCTGTGGTTCGACCTTCAGTGTGGTTGCTGCCATCCACTACGAAAGGATCTAATACTAAAATCCAACATCTTTCCTGTGCTTCCTGCTTTCTAGCGGTTGTTTAACTTAGGTCAGCCTACCATTTAAATCCTAAAAGTTATTTTGTGTATTTTAATGTTTTATTTATGTACTGTCATTACTTAAATGGGTGATATATAATCCTGTATAGTATATGTTAAAAGGGCTTATAGGCAGTTTCCAGTTCACTAATCAAATCTCTAATCAATGCATAAACAGAACAGTATTCTATTTTAGAATAACATGTATATCATACACTCCTAATCATTAAAGTAAATCTTCAGTATGTCATTAAATCTAGATAATGTGCAGAATGTATTGAATATCCTCAACTAACAGGAAATTCCTCTTTATAATTATTCAAATGTCTATTTTGTTAGTGAACAATAAAGTTTTTCTTTATAATTCCTATTCTATCTATCTATTTATCTATCTATCTATCTATCTATCTATCTATCTATCTATCTATCTATCTATCTATCTATCTATCTATCTATCTATCTATCTATCTATCTATCTATCTATCTATCTATCTATCTATCTATCTATCTATCTATCTATCTATCTATCTATCTATCTATCTATCTATCTATCTATCTATCTATCTATCTATCTATCTATCTATCTATCTATCTATCTATCTATCTATCTATCTATCTATCTATCTATCTATCTATCTATCTATCTATCTATCTATCTATCTATCTATCTATCTATCTATCTATCTATCTATCTATCTATCTATCTATCTATCTATCTATCTATCTATCTATCTATCTATCTGTCTATCTATCTATCTATCTATCTATCTATCTATCTATCTATCTATCTATCTATCTATCTATCTATCTATCTATCTATCTATCTATCTATCTATCTATCTATCTATCTATCTATCTATCTATCTATCTATCTATCTATCTATCTATCTATCTATCTATCTATCTATCTATCTATCTATCTATCTATCTATCTATCTATCTATCTATCTATCTATCTATCTATCTATCTATCTATCTATCTATCTATCTATCTATCTATCTATCTATCTATCTATCTATCTATCTATCTATCTATCTATCTATCTATCTATCTATCTATCTATCTATCTATCTATCTATCTATCTATCTATCTATCTATCTATCTATCTATCTATCTATCTATCTATCTATCTATCTATCTATCTATCTATCTATCTATCTATCTATCTATCTATCTATCTATCTATCTATCTATCTATCTATCTATCTATCTATCTATCTATCTATCTATCTATCTATCTATCTATCTATCTATCTATCTATCTATCT